CGCGATCTCGCCGCAGCGCGCGGCGGACGATCCCTCGGCGCCGCGGCCCCGCCGGGCGCCCTCGCGAGGGTCGCGTCCGGCCCGTCCACGCCGGGCCTCTGGCGGCGGGGCCGAGGAGCAGGCGCGGCCGCGCGCCACCTCACTGATGTCGCCGGGAAGGTCCCCGTGCCGCTGCCTCCTCTTCCGCCGCCTTCCTCCTACCCGCCACCTCCCTCCCCCGCCGCGCTCTGAGGCGAAGAAGAGCGAGATCCCCGACCGCCTGCCCTCCCCGAGACCCGGGACGGCGCGTTAGAAGACCAGCCGCCCAGTCCGCGGAGCTGCAGACGGCGCTCTGGCCCTGCCTCGGCTCACGCCGGTCGCGGATGCTCGAGCGGCAGCTGCCACCCCAACGGCGGCTTCTGGGACTCTCGCCCGCTGGCTTTTTTTTCTTTTCTTTTTTTTCTGAACTCGCAGTACTTGGGCTGAGCCGGCGAGATCTCGCGAGATGCTGCAGGGCCTCAGTGCCGCTTCCCCCTCGGCGCGTGGTACCCGAGGCCGGGCTGGAACTGCAGCGGGCCCCAGCTTCCGCGGGTGATGCTGGGGGCTTTCCGGTTCGGGCCGCGGGCGCTTCCGGAGTCGCGGATGAGTGCGCCCCCAAGCCGGGCTGGCTGAGGACTCCGGCCTGCCGCAACTCCCGGCGCTGACTGCGGGCCTGAGCCTCGCAGCAGGAGGATTTCCTCTGTGCAGCTCTGGAGCTGTGGACTCACCCTGCCTGGCAGTTAGATTTGCATAGCCTGAGGTTAATTCCAGTTGTGATGCTGTGGGTGTGTCCGCACTTGCAGGACACCTTTATTTTAAAAGCTGATGTTTGAAGGTGAGAAAGGTGCTTAGTTGTGATATCTTTTTGTTTCAAGATGAGTTTTGAGACATTAAAAAAAAATTATGAGCTCAACTCTCAATGCAGTGATAGCAGTTAGTATCCATGGAGGACTTACCTGTAAGCTTCTGCATGGTTTGGGTTGTGACGAATTCTTCTGATTTAATAGAAACAAGGAGGTGTTCCTCTCCTCTGCAGGCCTATTTTTCCCTTCTGTAAAATGTAGGGCAACGACCTGTAATCCCAGCACTTTGGGAGGCGGAGGCCAGAGGATTGCCAGGGCCCAAGGGTTCGAGACCAGCCTGGGCAACTTGGCAAGACCTCAACTCTATAATAAATCAAAAAAATTAGCTGGACGTGGTGGCACACGCCCATAGTTTCAGTTACTTGGAAGGCTGAGGCCAGCAGGTCGTGGCTGTGGTGGCCGTTAGCATGCCTCTTCACTTCGGCTTGGGCGACAGAGTGAGACTCCAACTCAAAAAAAAAGTGGGGGAATATTACTATTGTACAACTGTTTTAGCAGCAGAATTCTTTTTTAACGTGAATTCTACCGAAAACCCTAAGTAAAAATCAATGAATGGCTTCCGCTGATCACTTGGCTTTTATTTACGGATTTATTATGTTTTTATATTTGTAAATTTTATTTATGGGAATAAACACTATCTCCCTTTGTTGAATCCTTGAAGCACAATCAAAGAGCCTCAGAGTTTGCTAGAACTGTTGGACAATGCTGTAAGTAAAAGCTGCAACCAGGCAGTTTCAAAATTTCATAGCCGTGATCTTATTTGACTTTGACAACTTTTCAGCTCATTGTACTTTCTCTATTTTAAAGATGGGGAGAGGAAAGAACAGCTGTCAGGTCAGATTGCCAGGGTTTTTAAACTCTTCTGAGCTTTAGTGAGAATAACAGAAAACCAGAAGAGGCCAGGAAAATTAGGTGGTCCTTTAAGCAAGTGTGCAGTTTTCTACTAAGGAATTGCTGCCTTAGTAGTTGATCGAGGTGGTACCTTTCAGCTCCAAAGCTAATTTGGTGGCTGTTGGAATAGCAACAAAAATTTAATTGAATAAATATCAAACACCTACTAAGAGCTGCTCTGTGGTCTAGGGATATAGCAGTGAACAAAACAGACAACTCCTTCTCTCATGGAGTGTTCGCTCTAGTGAGAGGAATAGAGAAACGATGCACTAAGTAAATTGATAAAATGTGTAGCATCCAAGTACTGAAAACTAAGGAAAGGGGATCGGAATATGTGTGTGAAATGCAAATGGTAAAGTTTTCCATGGGATGGCCTCACTGAGAAGGGGACATTTGAGTATGGACATGAGTGGTGTGAATATCTGGGAAAAGAGTGTTCTAAGCAAAGGAAAAGCAACGGGCCAGATGTGGGAACATGCCTGGATTGCTTATGGAGTTGCATATAGTCCAGTTTGGCTGGAGCTGCAAGGAATGAGAGGTGATTATGTCAGAGGGTTTGGGGTGTAGAGAGTGATAGACCAGAATGTGTAGGACTCCTTTGGCTATTAGACATGTTTGCCTCTTACTGAGTGGAATGGTGTATTAGCTCAGTTTGCCATACCAAATACAATAGACTGGGTGGCTTAAGCAATAGAAATTTACTTTCCCACAATTCTGTAGGCTGGAAAATCTGAGATCAGTGTGTCAGCATCGTCGGGTTCAGGTGCCAGTTCTCTTTGTGGCTTGCAGACAGCGACTTTTCAATGTGCTCCCACACGATAAACAGAACTCTGTTGTCACTTCCTTTTTTTTTTTTTTTTTTAAACAAGGGTACCAGCTCAGTAGGATCAGGGTTGCTACCCTTATGACCTCATTTGACCTTAATCATCTCCTTAAAAGCATTATCTTCGATACAGTCACGTGGTTGGGGAGGGGTTGGGAGGGTTAGGGCTTCAACATAGGAATTTGTGGGGGATACCGTTCAGTCCTTAGCAGATGGTAAGTCATTAGAAGATTTTGGTGGAAGAATGACATGATTTGACATACTTAAAGGATCAATCTAGCTGTCTTGTTGTAAATAGACAAGGGGGTAAAATAGAGGCAAAGAAAAAAGCAATGAGATATGTTAAGGGGTATTACAGCTATCCAGGAAGTGATGTGACTTTGACCGTAGTGGGTAGTATTGGAAATGGGGGAAGGTGATTGAATTCTGGGGAGACAATAGATTTTCTGATTTATATTTATGTAATATGTAAGAAAGAGAATCCAAGGGTTTTGGCTTGAGCAACTAGAAGAATGTTGTTGCTATATTCTGAGATGCAGGAGAGGGTGAAAGGAACAGGTCTTGGTGGGATGAATGTCAGGACTGCAGTCTGATATATCTGTTGGAGGAAAGATACAAATGTAGAGTAATATAAATAGTATTCACTCATATAAATGTGTAACTGCAAATGGAGAAATTCTAGAGGAAAGGACCATGGTGCAATGAGAATGCAAAATAGAGAGGCTAGACAGTGAAGAAGGAAGTGACTCTTCAGCAGAGATCTGAAAGACAGTTAGGACCAAACTGTAATTCAAACAAGGGAAATATTGTGAGATGTCCTCACGGAGTGAACAGGGCCTGTCTAAGGAGCTTGAAGCCAGTTAAAACAGAAGAATTAAGGAACAAGAGTAATAAGAGACAGATCTTTTTCTAAAAGCCCCATAAAATTATGAATGGGTTTCAAGGGAGATCAAGGGGCACATGATTCGATTTGTATGTATTAAATCTCTCTAAATCTATTGTGAACAGAAGAGTGGAGAAGAGAAACAGTTAGCATGGGAAGACAGGACACAATTTCACTAATCTAGTCATGAGATGATAGTACTAATAGTAGCTGACTTTTATAGAGAATTTATGTTCCAGATACTGTTCTAACCTCTTCATTATCCTACTTAATTCTTACAACACTGTGAAGAAAATCATAGGATTACCCTTATTTTGCAGATGAAAAACTTTGTTAAGTAAAGAATAAGTAATTCCAACATTTAATGACTAGATCAAAGACCAACAAAGGACAGGTGGAAGAAGTGACCTCAGAAGAAAACCAGATGAAGGCATTGGAAAGGAGCATCAGCTCTGTTAAACTGGATCAGGAGATGGAGAAATATGAGCTGAACATACAGTATTGAATTCAGTGACTTGTATTAGCCAACAAAATAAGAGCAATGGGGAGAGGAGAGGAGAGCATAGGTTCCAGGAGACATAATCAAATGTTTTATGTGTTACTTGTAGAAAAATTGTCAAGAGAGATCTTTAGTTATCTATTAGCAGACATTTGGTTGTCATATTTACCAGGTGTCAGTTTAAAGTCTAACTTGAAGGAGAACAGACTTGCTGTCAGTGCCATAGTGGAGAACTTGCTTATTTTGCTCCATTTTCCCTATTGCCAAAAGCTCAGTCTTTGATGATATATTGATGTACTTAGTAATATATATTTAATGTACTTAGAATTTTAGGACTAAAAGCAACTTAGATTGTTATTCCGAACTTCTCATTTCACAATTGCCAAAATTTTCTACAAGGAGACATAAATTTTGTTAGACCTACAACTCCCCATAACTGCAACATCAAAATATGTAAGGTACCAAGCCACGTAGAACCTTTAAAATCAACTTTTTTTTTTGAGTTGGCGTCTCACTCCATCACCCAGACTGGAGGGCAGTGGCCGCTCCTGGCCACCGCAGCCTCGACCTGCTGGGCTCTGGCGATCCTTCCACCTCAGCCTTCTGAGTAGCTGGAACTACAGGCGCGCGCTACCACGCCCGGCTAACTTTGGATTTTTTGTAGAGATGAGGTCTTGCCAAGTTGCCCAGGCGGGTCCCAAACCCACAGGCTCAGGCAATCCACTCACCTCAGCCTCCCAAAGGCGTGGGATTACAGGCTGAGCCACCCAGCCTGGCTTTTTTTTTTT